TCTCAGGCCTGTGCGAGACCTGCTTTGAGGCTGGAACTCCTGTTTCTTCACTCGAGGTGACCCCTACAATTGTATACCACTTTGTGTTGGTCTTCCACATTAAATTCCAGTGAAATATATTTATGTTTGTGGTTGTAATGTGACAAAATATGGAAAAGTTCAAGGGGTATGAATACTTTTGCAAACCACTGTATGTGGCGTCGTAGAACAGCGTATATAGGGCTTTTTATCAGCATCATCTGTGTCAACTATGCCATGAAAGCACAACATGTGTCATGTTTACGACATGGCAGGTTGTAACTTTCCCGTCCTTCAACCCAATATAAAGTAATATACATAACGGGAATGTGTCACAATCATTAAACAGACAGTATCATACATAACCTCATTTCTTCATGTGTAGTCCTACATATAAATAATTTTATGTAACTAAACAGTGTGACAGTATAATTTTGTCTGATAATAGAAATGTGGTTATAAATGTTCACCTGATCTTTGATCTGAACACTGATGCTTTTGAAAGAATCGTTTATTTTCAGTTTTCTAACCACATTTGCTTCGTGTGTAGAAACACACTGTGTGCTAAAAGGTCATTAACAAACCAAAACCGTAGTTGACTGACAGCCAGGAGGACATGTTCTGTTTCGATCCGACAGACCACTGCATGGTGAGTTTCATCAAAAAGAATCTGCTGGGCTCCCTGCACGAATTTCGGAACCGCTTCATTAACCCCATCCAGAACGGCCAGTGTGCCGACTCCACTCCGAAAGATGTCAGGGTCATGAAGAAGAGGGCACACGTGCTTCATGAAGTGTTGGCTGGTTGTGTGCAGGTAAATGAAATATCAAAGAATTTGTGTCATATCATCCAGTTTGACAACACTGGGTTCATCTTTGTCCTAGAGAAGAGATTACTCTGAGTTGACTCAGTTTCTGCCTCCCAAACACGAGTATGTGCTGACAGTGAGGATCACCCCCCTTCAGTACAAATTATACCGTCACTACCTCGACTGCGTCTCAGGTAGGAACATGTTTCCCTGAAATACATTTTGATATGTTTAACCCATAAGAGTAACTGTCAATAAGAACATTAAACCTACAGAAATGTTTGCTTATAATTTATCAAAATCACTAATAGATGAAAGAATGCTGAATGAATGCTCAGTTGTTTCCCATGTTGAATCAGAAACACAAATGACAAACGTGTCCTTTACAAAAATATATCTTGTCTCTCAGCTGGGGGAGCTGAAGTTAGCACAACAAAGGTGAGGACCGGTGCAAACCTCTTTAAAGATTTCCAGATTCTTGGCCGAATCTGGACTCACCCGTGGTGCCTTAAGCTCAGCGACCTCAGCAAAGAAAACAAGGTGGAAAAAATTTTCACTCACTGCACTCACCTTTTCACCATCAGCTTGACTCAATATGTTGATTAAAATCTGTTTTTATTTTGTAGCAGAGACATTTGGATGAGAGGAATCAATTTAAGGCAGCAGCTCAGCTGATGAATGTAGAGACGATTGTGGCTAAGAGGTAATTTATTACCCTTACATGTATTTTTCATTAAGKGAGAAGACTAATAATACTTTATGCAGGGTCCACACGGCAAGATAATTGTGCCAATTTTTGTCCCGATTTTTCCCTTACCACAATCTTAATAATGCCTGATTATTGTGACGGCTCTAAAGATAACCTTATGAGTTAGTCCTGCCATGTGTCGTGTGTTAAGAGTGGTCTAGTCGGCTCAGACGGACATTGGTACCGCTCCGATCTCAAATCGGGGATATTTAACATGTCAGATTGTCTTGGCCCAATACCCCAGCCTATGTGGTGTTCCTCCAAAGGCAAACGAGCTTGCATCCTGTTGAATGTGACCTGTAGCCAATCAAAAAGCCGGAAACACAGAGAGGAATCCAAAATACAGAAGACCAAACAGCTGCCGTGGTGCACTAGAAAGTCGGGTGGACATCGTTTGGCTTTGTTTTTTCTCTGCTAAAAATAGTCCACAAACCATCACCATTGCTTCTTCCTTGTTGGCCATGTTTGTTTACTCTGAACTCACGTTTGAGCTCGAGAAGTCTCGCGAGATTTCCCATCTGACATCTTAATAAATCYGTGTGTGGTGTGTCGTCTTTGCTATGTGGCTGTACACCACACACTGTAGGACCAAACCTGGTATATCAGAATTTTTATCTTGCAATGTGAACCAGGCATTAGGCATATACTTATTCTAATTTATACATTTTTTATTATGAACTTGTAAATATGCAGAACAGTATGGGGTTATTAGGATAGTTTAAAATGGTGGAGGTGATTTATCCCCTAAATATCTAGAGTAGGATAAAAAAAATCTATTGCTTCGCTGTCATCTTCTTCTGTCACCACAGGGGTCCTCCTCCGTCTCACTGTCCTCTGCATCCTCTGTCCTCACTGGTCTTTTTTCTGGCAGCTTCATCTCTAACACCCTTCTGTCAAAATACCCACTGTCCCTCCTCTGGACGTGTCCAAACCACATCAGTCTGGTCTCTTAATTTATCTCCCAGTTCTTCAACCTGTGCTGTATGTTTGGTGATCTCAGTCCTAATCTTCTCTATTCTAAAGAAAACCTCAATGTCTTCAGCTCTGACACTTCCTGTAGTGTCTTGTATCTTTTTGTCAATCCCACTGTCTCCAAATCATACAACATAGTCTCACTACTCTTTTGTTAACATGTTTTTTTTCTGTTCCTTTACTGAACAGCATTTTCTACATTTACACTGTTTTATTTTTAATTCATTCTTCTGCATTGTGTGAATTGTTTGATTGGCACAGCAGACTCAAAGACGAAGGAAAAGTAGTGACCAACAGCGAAAACGGCACAATGACTGTCGATGCCCCCAAAGATGAACGAGTGGTTGAAGGTATCACTAGATGTGTGACTTTATTTCAACCCTATAGCTTGTAAATAATTTGCTACTATAGTATTTATTTGTGTCTTACATCTCGTTTAGGGAGGAAATCAGCAAACAGTTTGAATTCTCAGACAGCAGGTAAGGCCTGGTACAAGAACTTTCTGTCGGAAAGCGATTCTAAAATCCTGGAACATTCGGGGAAAATGATGCTGTTATTCGAGATCCTTCAAATGGCCCAAGACCTGGAGGATAAAGTGTATGTTTTCTGTCATCATACAGACTTATTTAAACTGTTTTAACTGTGACTAGTTTTCACATGTGGCAAATTTCTTTTTTAGGCTCGTCTTCAGTCAGTCTTTAATCACGTTGAACCTAATTGAGGCTTTCCTTGCGGCTTCTCACCGTGCCAGAGACCCATCAAAATTAGGTTTTTATTATGTTTAAAGCAAAAATTTAAAAGCAATTAACCCTAGCAGCACATGTGCTTCAATTCCTGTGTTTTGTTGTGTTACCAGCGGGCAGCTGGATTAAGAATGTAGATTATTATCGGCTGGACGGCTCCACCACCGCTCCGTTGAGGAAGAGATGGGCAGAGAAGTTCAACAACACTGCCAACGTTCGGTACAACACCAGAATAAGACCTGCCTGGAGATAAATTGGGGCCATAAAATTTGTTCCAAAAACATTTATTTTGAAACTGAAATAAACATTTTTGAAGCTGAACAAAAAAGATTTGAAACGGATCAGGGGGAAAAAAGTTTACTTTTATCATGTAAGTAAATTTGTATGGCAGGCTGTTGTCATTTAATTGAAAAATATGGAAGGTTGTATCAAATAATTAACTAAGTATGTTGGGTCGTTATATCATAATAAAAAAGTGGCAAGTCATTAATGCCATTGATTAAGTATGGCAGGACAGTGAATCATGTAATCAAAACTAATGGCAGGCCGTAGTATTATATTTAACAAAGTATGGCAGACCATTGTGTCATAGTTGAAAAAAAAATACAATATTTCTTTTTTTTTTTAAATCATCCATCCATTTTCTGTACACGCTTATTCCTTTCAGGGTTGCGTGGGTCACTGGGGCCCATATTCATCAGTCAGTGTGAGGGGCGGGGTACACCTGGACAGGTGACAGTCCATTACAGGGCCACATATAGAGACAAACAACCATTCACTCTCTCACTCACACCAAGGGACAATTTAGAGTTTTCAATTAAACTAACAGTCATGTTTTTGGTCTGTGGGAGGAAGCCGGAGTACCCGGAGAGAACCCACGCATGCACGGAGAAAACATGCAAACTCTACCCAGAAAGGTCCCCAGGCCGGGATTTGAACCGGCAACCGTCTTGCTGAGAGGTTTCGGCTCTACCAACTGAGCCACTGTGCCGCCCGTTTAAAAAAAAAATCGGTTTTAAATCATTTGTTTCATTTTCAAAACTTTGCTTTCATTAAAAATTATTTTTTAAAAACTTCATGGCTCCAATTTAGCTCCACAGTTTCAAACCTAAATCATAGACAAAGTTCCTGCAATGTTTTTTCCCCCTCTCATTTTATTTTCCTTTTAGTGGCAGGTTGTTTCTCATCTCAACAAGAGCCGGGTCGCTCGGCATCAACCTCGTTGCCGCCAACAGGGTCATCATCTTTGACGCGTCTTGGAATCCATCGTATGACATACAGAGCATTTACAGAGTGTATCGCTTCGGTCAGCTCAAACAGGTGTTTGTGTACCGCTTCTTGGCGCAGGTAAACGCAACTTGCGTTAATTACATCATTTTATTTTGTATGTTCCTTTTAGAGAGACACATTTTCCATTATGACTTCATTTTTTAATAAACATTGACATGTTGGAATCTGTCGTGTTTTATATATATAAATATATATATATTTGATGATTTTAAGTGTGTGCATTAAGTAACAAAACATCATCTCCAGGGCACGATGGAGGAGAAGATCTATGACCGACAGGTGACCAAACAGTCCCTGTCCTCCCGCGTGGTAGATCAGCAGCAGATTGAGAGACACTTCACTCTGAATGAGCTGACTGAACTCTACACATTTGAACCAGATCTGCTCGATGACCCGAACTCCAAGAAGAGCAGGCGGCCCACACCTATTTTACCGAAGGTGGCTTTAAAGCCTTCATCATGCCCAYGCAGAAACTTTACCGTACTGAAGAGTGGTTTATGTTTCCTCCTCAGGACAGTATCCTGGCACAGCTGTTGCAAACCTGTAAAGATCAGATCATATCCTACCACGAGCACGAGTCTCTGCTGGACCATAAAGAAGAGGAGGAGCTCAGCGAGGCGGAGCGCAGAGCTGCGTGGGCTGAGTTTGAAGCCGAGGTGAACAACGTCATCAATAAAATCCATGCATTATATTCTCACCTTGCTGTATTTGAATGTTTTTTTGTGTGTCTGTTTCCCACCAGTCAAACACAGCCAGCCTCCCAGTCAGCTCCCCCAAAGACTCTTTGGATAAACACACTAATGAAAAGCTGCTGGTAAAAACAACAAATTTTACATTGTTTTTGTAAATACTTTGGATAATATTTGGATAAAACATTGCATATTTTTTTCACAGCAAATGTTGAACAAATGCAGAGCACAAGTTTCGCTTGCGTTCTCGACTCTGCAGAAGATGAGGTCTTACACTATTGAGGAGTACAAGCAACGACTGGTGAGTCACCTGACAGCATTCAGTTTTCTACGGCTGTGGCTGAGTGCTTAGGGGAGTCGTCTTCCAATGCAAGAGTTGGCAGTTCGATTCCACTACTATTCAGTTATGTCCTTGGGCAAGACACTGAACCCCCACTGCCTCTGATGTGTATCATCAGTGTATGAATGTGATTTAAAGCATTGATTATTCTCCACAGAATGATTTATGTAGATTAGCTTTGTAGAAAGATGTGTGGATGAGTAAATGAGGGCACAGATTATAGAGGAAAGCRCTTTTAGTATTCTGGTTGGATAGRAAGGAGCTACATAAGTACTGTCCAGTTACCATTTTTCTGATTTATGATTCTTTAAGTCCACGTGCAGCAGGATGCAGTCTTCTCTACCCTGTCTTTATATCCATTTGTTTTATAAGTGGTTGAAGAGTGTAGCGAGACTTTTAAATGATTGCTTTGACTAAAAGTTGGAAAGAACAGAAAAAGAATGAACTGTGTTTAGTTGAAGATGTGTGTAACTGGACTGGAATCCAAAAAGATGGGTAACATCAATAATCATTAATTCCTCTATCAGATTTTGACTTAATTAACTCAAAAGCTTCACCGTCGGTCCTTTTGTTTTTTTTTAGTTTTTACTAGCTGATATTAGGAGTTATTGCTCGTAATTATAAAACACACATTACCTGAAAATGCTTTGCTGTGAGGAAAGACAGAGATTGACAAAAGGTCAGGTTTTCTTGTGAGGCCAGAAACACAGTTAGAGCTTTATTAGCTCATTTCTTCCTGAATTAAGTAAAACATATAGGAACAGGTGAGAATTTATTGCGAAGCAGAATAAAAATTARTTGCAAAATTGTTAGTTGCAACAACAAATACTTAATATCATKAATAAAATGTTATGTTTTGATAATGTATCCCATTTAATGTCACAAATATAGTACCTACAAGTGAAATTACACTTCTTAAATGTTTGTGATATATTTTTAAATCAGTGTAGCTCATTAGTTAAATAATAAAGAACTAAATTGTTCATGTTAAAACTGTGTTACAGTTAATATATGTTCTTCAGTGACATAAAGGAGTTTTTAAATTTGGACATTTTGAAGTAGAGTTCTGTGAAAAGGTCATGAAATAAGTTGCTTGTTGTAAATGAAGCTTTGATTATCATATTTTGGAGACATGGAAATGAAGTCCAACAGATCAGTGAGCTAATGGTTAATTCAGAGCAAAGACTAAAGTGGATTACATGGATTGAACTTCCATTTCCAAAATTTCATGAAAGATTTTGTACTTTTTCTTTCTGGCTCTTAGTCATCTCAGAGTTTGAAGCAGGATAAAGTGAGAACCATAAATGTAGAAATCGTCAGAACATTTGTTGACTTATTGTTTTTCCCCCCTCAGCAACAACAGTATCCTCTYCTGCCGGAGCTGGAGCTGCAGATGAAGGCTGGGTACTGGAAACAGTGTGACGATAAGAGGCGAGACGTTACCCAAGCCTATTACCAAGAGGCTCTGACGCAGCAACAATCAGTGAGTCACTTGCACCTGTGTCAAAAATCCTGCCTGTAAATATTTGTACAAAAACCACCACCCTCACATTTAAACTGTCCCTCCACAGCTCACACTCAGAATTCAGGCCCTCCTCAACAAGCGAAGGAAACTTGTGATTCCCACAAATGTCAGGACTACAACCCAGCCTGGACAGACGGGATAAAAGTTTAAGCCTTAATGTAAAACATATGTTTACAGTAAAGTGGCCTTATTTAGTCTCTGCTGCATTAGAGAAAGATGTCACATGATAGTTTTTGTTGTTCTGTGCACTTTATTAATAGATACGAGAAAAACAGTACACAGATTGTTTTTATTGCTGCATTTCTTTGATACCTAACATGTTTGCAACTGAATTAATATGTTCTGTTTTTCTAATAAATTAATCTGGAGCATAATGTGAGGTGTGCAGTTATTGGATGCAACAGTTGACCTGACAGGATTCAGGATGTTTTGATGTTCTTGTTTTTGTCCACGTTTTCACTTTTTTATTTTTTATTTTTATATATGTTAATCATTCTGCTGGGGTCTATATAAAGTGGAACTTCAGTGCTTTGGTCTGAACTTTAATTAAAACTGAGTAGCTCTGACACAAATCCTGAACAAAATGAACACAAAACACATCTTTGCTTTGGATGTTATTTATAATCTTTATCTTTAGGATGTACAAAAACAAAAGCAGTCTGGACACAACAGTATTTTATATTAAAAAAAGTCAATATTAATGAACGTTGTAAAGACAAACCAATATTTATAGTGTTTAAAAAAAAAGCTCTTAGGGTTGGAGTGATTTAAAAAGGATAAAGTTWAAAGAGTAGAAAAGTAAACAAAATAAAAATGCACTGAAGACCCTCACAGTCATGCAGAAAAGAAAATCTAACAGCTTTGGCAGGAAATACATTTTTAAAACCTACTTCTGAAAGTACAAACTATTTTATTTGCCTTTTGGGGGACTAAAATTTGAGGATATCCCAGCATGCACTGTGGCAGGGAGAAACAACAATGTTTAACTTACACTTCTACTGATGAGCACCATAAAATTACAAAAAACAAATGTAGAACAAAAAAAAAATATCAGTTTGAGATTCAGACATGTCAATTAGTTACATCAAAAACAACATTTTATTAATATTTTCCCACTGGTTTACTGCCAATTTTTAGCATTGGTTTAATGAAGTGAAAAATCAAAAACATTTGATTAAAAACAATAATTACACAGTGCACAAACAGTCCTTCACAGTGATATCTGGAGTTTCCTGCAGATCAGACTCTTTTACCTGAACACGTTTTCCTCAGACTCCACATCTGGAAAGTCCAGGTGGAACTGGAGCAGCAGGTTAGTGTCCCGTGTCCAAGTCCCTCATGTACTCCTGAAGGGCCTGCAGCCTGGCGTCGATCTCTGACAGCTCAGTCCCCGTACCCACCGAGCCCTCTGCAAGTTCGTGACATCAACATGAGGATCAGATGAGACTTTTATTTTATTACTGAGAAATAAAATRAATAAATTACCTTTGTCTTTGAGTCTGTGTGTTGGAGTGCTGCATACTGGCTTTCTGGTCATAAGGCCTCGAGACTAAAACACAAAGTTGCACATTTAGAATCAGAACGAGCATTTTTAGTTCTCATTTTCAGCAAGTAAGACCAGTTCAGCTAAAAAGTGCTGCTCTTTGCAGCTAAAATGATAAAACTACATTGTACCCTCAACATTGTTCAAAAACGCYTAAAAACTCGGGGTGAAACGATCCATTCGGCTCAGGAGATGAGATTTGAAGAGTATTTTTAAGGAAACTTTAAAGATGAGACGCACGCTGGAACAAATCCTTCAGTCTGGTTTCTCAGCTCCTCAGATTTCAAACTGTTTCAGCTTTTTATGACCCAACTTCTTATTAAAGCTGCCTGACCTTTGAACTTTGAATCTTAGGTCATATTCAGATTTAATAAGAAAAAAAAAATTTAAAACCATGAACTTGTAGGATTATGACCAAAGATCATTAAAAGAAACTACTGAAACAGAGGTCAGCATATTATACTTCGTCTTATTAAACAAATGAAAAGAGAACATAGAAAATATACAAATTAAGGAGCAAATAATGCATTACAGGTAAAYACTCACCACATTAGGTCCATTGTAAGTCTGTTTTCTTCCCCTGAACAGAAAAAAAAAGACATTAAAATGAGTGACAGCTGCGTCACAAATCTCTTTCTGCTGTTTTTTCCTCAGTACCTGAACAGAGTTTGGGCCATTTCATCCATATCTACTAATGAGCTCTCAGAGGAGTTCCTGCTGCCTCTGCGCTCCCCAGACTGACTCCTGCCTCTGCTGCCAGACCGGACCACCTGACGATAGGCCTCTCTGGATCGGGAGCGGCCCCTCTCGGGGACGACGGGTGAGGCCAGCATGTCCCTTCGCACCTTCCTCTGCCTGACAGAAATGGGGGTAAAAAAAATGTTGATTTTGACGACTGCGGCGTTAAATATTAAATGCAGGAGCTGATGTTGGTGGAAAATGAACAGGAACCAACTTCTTGAGTTCAGTCTCTTTCTGTCTGCGCTGCCGGTCCTGGATGTAAGCTGTYGGGTCAAAGCGTGGCACCCTGGATCCTGCAGGACAGAAGACACTGATGAATATGTTTTATATCTGGTTGTAAAAGCTAAACTAAAAACTGATAGGARCGTTCTCAACAGTGAGATCATCATGGAGGGTACCTGTTGGGGAAGGCGACGGCCTGGGGATGTGAGTTTGTGGTCCTGAAGAGTCTGCTCGTCTTCCTCTTTCCACTAACCTGTACCGGTTGTCCTCCGTCCGCTCTCTAGACCCAGACCGAGCCCTGACCATCCCATACCCGGGCCTCCTCTCGCGTGAAAGAGAGCGATAAACTTCCCCATCAACTCGAGAGCTGACGTGGCCCGACACAGGAGTYACTCTGCTGCAGGCACAGCCAGACMGAACCAAGAGTAAATAWGATTCAGAGGTCTAACGTTATGAACTCAGAGTAAGTGAATGAAGGAGAGAGAAAGTAAAGGTATAGTACACGCTTAGATTGTCTAACCCTCTCCGTAGCAACGCCAGTTCATTGGTGAGACTCTTGACTCGAACGCGGAGAGCACACTCTGATGCTTTCAGCTCCTCCAACTGGAAGWGAAGCAGGAAAGTTAAAAGCAGCCAAGGAGCAGAGGAAACATCATCTTATCCAGACCACCTTCACCTGCTCCATGAGGAGTCTCTGCTCCTGGCACCGCTTGCTTGTTGACCTTTGGCTTTTGGCCCTCTCCTTGACGAGCTGCTCCTCCAGCGTCCTCACCACCTCTCTGATCCTCCAGTCCTCTCGCCCGGCCATGGAGCCACCTCCACTCAACTGCAGTCGCCCCAGCGCCTTAGCCATGCCTTCCTTCTCTTCTTTTACTACAGCCAGCCTTGGGAGGGAGTGGGGAGTGAATGCCATCAAAAAATAATAAAAATTGGTCAAAATTTTCTGTTAAACAAAAGCAGTGTTAATGCTGAGTGCTGAAACTGGATTGTTAAAAGCTACAAAAGGGCAAACTGTGCTAGCTAAACACTAAGGCTAAGAGCMGCAGAATGGTAAATGGTAATTAGCTTGAACTTATACAGAGCTGTATCAAGTCCCTATGGACTCCAAAGCACTTTACACTTCAATCATTCACCCATTCACACACTGTTGACGGTAAGCTACACTGTAGCCACAGCTGTCCTGGGGCACACTAGCAGAGGTGAGGCTGCAATGCACCTGCGCCACCGGACCCGCTGACCAATTCCAGCAGGCAAGGCGGGTGAAGTCTCATCCAAGTTCACAACAACCGAGGTGGATTAACCAGTCTGCCACACACACCCAGTAGCTTAAAAGCAGCAAATAAATAAATAACACAAGGTTAGCTAAATGCTGAAAGTAGCAGAATGGCAGCTAAAAATACTATAAGATGACAAAAAATAGATCATGGCGCAGAAAGTGATTGATTTAATACATCACTATGAAGAAAATATTTGAAAATGAAGTTAAATGTTTTGAAAAAAATAAAAAATAAAATAAAAGTTACTAAAAGCTTGTGATAGCTTATATAATTAGAAAAAAATCTTAACATTTTGATATATTAATAAAACTGCCCATAAAAATATGTGCAAAAAATAAAAAATCAGCATTCACACTGTAGCARTTATCGGGTTTATTTAGTGGATTGATTATAATCACACTACACATAGTCTATTTTGTTTTATGATAGAAGTGTAATGACTGACAAATGTGATTTATAATTAACTGGATGATTCWATTTTTTATAGCTACATGCCTGGCAACATATAACACATATGGGTACTTTTAAAACCATTAGGATAGCTTTATTTGTTTGTGGGCATGTCTCTGACCAAGGAAGGGACCCCCTCCTAAMCAWTGAYGTAATTAAGAGGCRGAGTCATGCCCTGAAGCTGGATGTTAAATTCTCTTGTCACTTCCTTGTTCGGCCTGATTCCTGGGCAGCATTAAACAGGTTATCAGCAGAGCGCTCTGGTGTCTGTRTGGTTCACTCTCACACTCAAATTATATCGCCCATTCTCTCACGATTTCGCACACATCCTGGTAACGAACGCGTACTAATATCGACTTTCTTTCAACACAATAAATGCAACATACTCTTGCCGTAGCCGTTGTATTTCGAGATCTGCAGATTTGTTAACTCCATGGGAGGTGAGGGCGCTGATCTCTGCCCTGAGCGTTCGGATCTCCTTCTGAAGGGTAGCCGGGTCGGGTTTCCCCACATACGGCAGAGGTAAAGGGTAGTGTATCCTGCATGCACAAAACAATCAGACACAAATGTGTAACATTTAGAAAATGAAGTATAGACTCAAACGAGGGCAGAATCCTACAGCACACTGTGACGTAAATACACAAAGTGTACAAAAGAAACAAACCTGTCGAACTCCACAGTATAGATGAGGATGAGGTATCTTTTRGCAGTGAGGGCAGACGACTGCTGATGGCCACGAGGACGACCGACCACTCCGGCTTTTCTGTTGCGCAGCAGCTCCAGGTCAGCATAAGTCAGGAGGTCAAGAGTAACTGAATCACTTGTCTGCAGACAAATAAATAAATAAATAAACACACACAATGAACCTGAATGACAAATTAGCTCTGAGGGGGAAAAAATGTTAAAGTGATCTTTTCATTTTTTTACATGCATTAGTTTCATTTTATTTTATCATTTATTTACATTTTGATTTTTTTACATCTATGGATTTGTTT